GCACGTGGACCCAAGGGCCCGAAGCGCAAGAAGAAGGACGCCGACTCCGACACCGACGGCCTGCCTTCCGACGACGACGAGCCACGCTCAAGACGCAGACGGACGACAGCCAGTGGCACCGAGGACCTGTCCGACGAAGAGCGGCCCCGCGAGAAGAAGAAGAGGAAGCTCGCCCGCAAGAGCGAACCAGTCGGTAAATACAAGTCTGCGGAGTTCATCGACGATGAGAGCGACGAGGATGGCGCCGCGCCCGCTGAAGACGGAGACAAGGCTGATGGCACGGCTGGCAGCGACGACGAAGGTGTTGCAGCTTCAGCGCCTCGTCCCCGCAAAGCCCGCGTCGTCGACGATGAGGATGAAGACGATGACGCTATCGCCGCCCCGAAAGCTAATGGTGACACCGCCATGGACGACGATGAGGATGAGTAGCGCTATCGCTTGTCGTTCCATGGCGAAGGCCCACAGTCTTGGAAGCATTATCACCTGGCGTTCGTCTGAGTTATCCGTCTAATCCTCTTTTATTGTCGCGTCTTATTCTTCCTTTCTTCTTAGTTCTTGCATCAGCGCTACGGCGTCTCCGGGGTGGCAGACAACGGGGGAATCACATCATCAGCTCCGTTTTATTGTACGGCACTACTAAAATTTGTATACCATCACATGCAAGGGCGGGGGCTTATAGAGATGCAATTCAAAGTAAAATGTACAATATGATTTCATTGTATGATTTCAGGCTAATGATGATTCCTTCAAGCTACACGTCTGCCTAGGCATATCCTGAAGACCCTGGAGCCTACATCGAGCTAAAAACATGCAGAGTAGGTGGCCCAGGGTCAACGTAGGCTTCTGGGTGGTCGGGTTTTCCATCAAACAGCCCATTCGTCCTTGTCGTCTTTAGCGGTGATAAAGGGTTCGTCGACGAGCTTAACGGCAAGTTCCCCGCATAGCACACTAAAACACGTTGTTAGCACAGCAAAGAAGAAAACAGCACCTCATACAAGGAAAAAGCTGAACAGGCCTGCAGCCTACATCAACGTGGAAACCTGCAAAGTAGGTGCCCTGACGTCGATGTATGCTCCTGACCTTTTCAGTTTTTCCCTGAATTGAGGTGGCAGCACAAGGGAAGACTCACCAACTGCTCCCAACCAAAGCATCCAACTCCCTAATCGCCCTCTCCCTCCCCTTCCCCACCTTAACCCCCCTCTGCACCTCCGCCTGCAACTCCGCAATGCGCTTTCCCCTCGCAATCCCCGCCAGCTCCACCACCCTCTTCGCAAGACAATCGCTATGAAAAGCATGCTGGCACGGGAAAACAAAGAACTGCCTCGCCAACAACGGCAGCCCACACACATAGCACCTCTCCCCGGGTTCCACAATCGCATACCGCTGCTCCAGCGCCTTGATATCCGACTTGATATGCGTAGCCGTCGCCTCACTATCATCCATCTCCTGCTTCAAGCCATCAATCTTGTGGCTGTAGTCTTCGAGGGCGGCGCAGATTTCCTCTTTGAAATCGTCGATGACGACGAAGTCCGGGAAGAAGGGGATGAGGTCTTCGATGCGGAGGAGGTCGACGCGGCGCAGGAACTCGATGGCGGTTTTGATGCCACTGGATTGCGAGATAACCTTTTTGGCGATGGCGAGCCAGAGTTTTTTGCGGAGAACAGGGGAGGTGTTGGAGCGGTCGGCGACGCTCGAGGCGAGGTCTATTTCGTCGTATTTTAGGGCGAGGTCGACAGCTTGCGCGTATTGTTGCATGGAGCTGTAGATGTGTACGCAGGATTGGACGCGCTTGTGTTGGATGCAGAGGCGGAGGGCAAAGTCGGCGTCGTAGTTTTGCTCGTGAGCGAGAGATTGGCCTTCGAGGTAGGCGAGGAGGGCGGATTCGTCGGTTGTGGGGTGGGAGGCGTAGATGGAGATAAGGGTGTTGTGGATGGCGGCGTCGGTTGAGTTGTGTTGGTTGATCTCGAAGAGAAGGTAGCGGACTGCTTGGTTCTGGTTCAGCGTGGCCTTGGTGTGGTTGTTGTAGTTGAGGAATGCGGGGATGAGCTTCTGCGCGTCGAAGTTCGAGTGTCGCATCATCACATCGACGAGCTCGACTGGTACGTGGGCCATGAGCACAGAGCTGTACTTGTAGAAGATCTCGGGATCTGTCTGCTTCTTGAGGACGTCCAGAGATTCTTGCCAACGCTCACGCTGCACCCAGTACGAGAGTACGTAGTTGTAATCGTTGACCACAGTAGCAAAGTAGAGCAGCTCTTCCTCTCGACCGTGACTGCTGATGATCTCGTATACAGTCTTACGGTCAAGATCAGCCTTGTACTTGGTTACAAAGTCTTGATACTCTTTCCGGATGACTGATAGTTGATCATGAGTCTCGGCGGTGTTCATGCTCTCCGAGAGTTCTGCTTTCGTGGTAATGGTGTCATCGAGAGTATTGAGCTTGGCCATGTATAGTTCAATCAACCAAGTAGCGACCATAGTCCGTTGCATTATCGATGACTTCTTCAATGTGGACAGTTTCGTCACCAGGTACTTCCGTAGCGCGTCCTGCTCGCCATTGTCGATGAACGTCAGCGCGACTTGCTCAAACGGCTTCGTGCTTCGTCCGTAAACAGTCGCAGCCTCCATCCACTGGCTCTTGCCAACAAGGTAGTCACCAGATGCCGTTGCCACTGCATCCTTCTGCGCTGGTGTTTTGGCGTACTGCGATGCAGCCTCGAATTGTTGTGCTCGGAGCATGATCTTCCAAACGTCGCGACTCTCGTCTTCGACAACGATCTCGAAGATCTCCTGGCTCGTGAAGAGCCAGTAAGTATTCCTCTTCCAGTCAGCTACCAGACCAAGCGCACTTTGTCCGGGCTCCAGCACAACTTGGTCATGGACAATAGTATCGTCGAGGCGGTTGATAGCTACGACTCGGCCTTCGACTAGCTGGAGAATATGCCACTGGCTCAATATCATCGAACTGACAGGATCTTGTGTCCGTCGTGTGCGCCCGCTAGCGGTTTGTGAAGGCGGCACCTGTGATCTAGGCAGCATCTTTGAGTCTCCAAGAACTTTGCCGCCAAGCTCAGAAGTATCCTGTGATAGATACAGCTTCCCATGCAAAACGCCTTGTGATGTAAGCCAGCCGAAGATCCTCTCGGCGTTGGAGTCCTCGCGGTTTGGGCTGTCGTTGTGCTCCGGGGAGATAGCAAGCAGCGAGGCTGCCGTGGGGGCGACATTGGAGACCTCATGTACGGTCGCAGATTCGCTCTCGAACAGCTTCGAGAATATAGATCCGCTTCCTTCTGATCCCTGGCGTCCGACTTTGCCAGCGAAATGTAGGAAAGTCGAAGGTGTCGCGACGATGATGCGCCGCAGATCCGTTCTCCCGGGCACCGTATCCGTCCACAGCCCAGTAATAGGGCCATCGTTCGTCCGGTATACGCTCTTCAAGTATCTATCAAGCTGTTAGTACGAATAATAAGATGTCTTAGAACCGCGTTGCCAAAGTATAGAATTGGGGATACATACTAGTAAAAAGTTAGCAAGATATTTTAAGCGCTATCCGTGGCAGCTACGTTACCCTCTCCTCCCTCCTGTAGAACTCGGATGACGGCTCGATGTACACTTCGTAAACGTTGCCGTCTGATGCTCCCACGAGTATCTCGCGCGTCGAAGCAGTGGGCTGCGAGGGATTCCACGAGATACTCTCTATGACAACGCCCTTCAGCCGTGACAACGCCTTCGGTGTCCGGGATTGTGTATGGAGGTAGTAGTTTTCGGCGAGGGTAGTGGTTATGATGAGGTGGGATGCGGAGGGGTCGAGAAAGAGGCGTCTGATGACACCAACCTCTGAAGGCTTCTTTGGCAGGTCGATATCTTGAGATATATAAGCGGCTGTCCAGGTCTTTTGTGTGGTGTTTGCATTGCTATACGAACCGTCTATATCTGCAGGACTGTCCAAATCGATGCGTAAGATGCGCCCGGTGGACAGAGCCAGGACGACGACATTATTCGCTACTGCAGCCGCCACGAAGTCGGAAGATACTGTGAATTGTAAAGCCACGCGCTCTATGCTGAACATGGGGCCCGAGGCGTCCTCCTGCATGTTGCTTGTGCTGGGCGGCGCATACCCGCTCGAGGTGTCGTAAGCCATGGTGGGCTTGGGGTGTAGCTCTCAGCTATCGTGGGCTCGTAGTCATTGTTTGCGCGATCACCCGCTGTCTCAGTGCTCCTTCTCACTCTGCTGCGGCTTCGGTTGTAGCTGTGGGCGCACCTGCTCGGTGGTGACGCCTAAGCTTGGAGCTTGGACTTCGGCGATGGAGCGGAGATAAGCCGGCGTTGGCGTCGCGTCATGTGAGTTCGCGTTTGGCACTCGATTGACCTTCTCCCACAACCCCTTCTCTAGACGATCAATGAAAGCTGTTAGATCTCTCATATTTTACAGGCAGCTGCGGAATTGATCATGGTGAAATCGCGGGTGTGCATGGGAATTACTGAACGTTTGCAGGACAGAACCGCGCATTCACGATGCCATGGCCGTGGAACCCTCTTACTACTGCGCCTCCCCTTCGCACCACGATTATTTGATCTCGATCTTCGTTGCCTTATTTAATCGGTTTCTCGACCTCCGAAACTTACAACGTTGCCTCTCAACCGCTCAAATTCCGCCGTACTCGCTCAATCAATTCCAAAGCGCGCATCATGTAGCAACCCCTCACATAGTCTTTACAATTACTGACAAGATCAGGGATCTCGGGAAAGAAATGGTACGTGTGACTGTGGGCGCCAATAAAACACCCTTCACATTTCACAAGAACCCCCTCCGCCGGCATTCTGAGTACTTCTCTCGCGCATTCGGACCCAACTTCAAAGAAGGCAGAGATGGCGTCTTGCATCTTCCCGAGACCTCTAAGACGACCTTCCGCCTTTTTCAGACTTGGGTCTACCTTCAAATAACTCGTTCGCCTCCAGGTCTTAGTGAGGTGGAAGCTCTATTAAGCCCTGCAGCGCGCATGACCCGATCTTTGAACGCTGATGTCTCAGCTCACACGCGTACCAGGACGGAAGAGACAAATCAAAACAAGTCAGATGCTGACTCCGACTGTAATAACGATGTTTTGAACAGCCTCTTCCATCTCTATCGCTTTGCGGATGCATACGAGTGCGTCAAACTGCGCAATGACGTTATCAGCGCCTTCAGCGACCTTACGAAAGATGGATTGGCTCCCGACCCCGAAACGATCGCTTTCATGTTCGAAGAATTACCTCCTTCTTCTACCATCTGTCAATACTTCGTCAAGAGTGCTGCGCTGAATTGGGGCCACTACAGGGGCCCTTATCGAGCGCTACTCGAGGCTACACCGCTGCCCCAAGATTTCTTAGTAGAAGTTGTGCGCATCAACCACAAGATTGCAAGCAAAGGCAAAGGAATGGATGCATTATGCAACGAGATACAAGATCGCTGTAACTTCCACGAGCATGCAACGGAAGATGAAAAGCAGCTGTGTAAGTCAAGAATGCTTCAGGACGCGCCGTACATAGACGCTCTTATCTTAGCGTGCTTGGAGGTCTCGAAAGGCGGACAAATGGCATGATGGATCATGTCAGCGCATAAGATATGCAATATTCCTTGAGAGTGGAGCAAACTGCTGGATACTGACGTGTTTAGTCAAGATTATCCTAATCTTCGCCAGTCTACAGCTATAACATGTGTCTTGAAGACCTCTTGTCATCTCCTTCCCTTTCTCAATGAATTCGACCCAGTCTTCTACATCTCCAGCAGTATCAACATTCTTCAACCACTACCCTTCAATATGACATCGGCAATACGTTGTTTACTCTCCTCATTATCTCCACTCCCCTAGCCCATACGTTAGCACACATCCTCAACTTCATCAGCGCAACACGACCTACCGTCAAAAACACCTTCCGAAACTCATCCTCCTCCAGATCAAACCAATTCGTGATATCCCTATGACTTCTATCCCACGGCCACTTCTCATAAAGCCTACGAATAACACCCTGATACACCTTAACCCTATCAAACCCAGCAGCGCGCAAGCGATAAATACTCGGCGCAAACGCCTCCAACAAACTTTTCAGGACAGGCCACAGCGGGGGCTCGAGGTGATAGTCTTCATCAGCTGCATGATGATCTATCTGGAAGATGATTACCATGTCTTTGTTAGTCAACCTAAGAAGGTTCTCGAGATCAGCTACAACACGCGAGCTGCCACCCCAAATCTGATCCCAGCTGAGATCAATGCGTATGTATCGGATGATATGTGCAGGCACCACTCCTCTTTTCCAGACATCTTGCGTGAGAAACATCCCTAGCAAGCAAGCACCCGGGGTGTACATTATGAAGCCGCCAGTGCGGTACCAGTGCTCCGCTATCTCTTTTGCCACTGCTTCACCCGTGTACTCGGCGTACCTCCAAGTATCGCGACGCATGGTAGGGTCGTCAGGTAAAGGCGGTTGAGCGTCGAAGAAAGATCGGCCACCGTGATAGTGGTGGAAAAATCGACTTGAGCGTATTCCGGTATCTACCTCACGACAATCAACAACGTAATGTCGCCTGCGGGGAGGAATGAGATGGTCGTAGACCATGTCCCTCACTTCGCGAGGAAGGGCTGCGCGGAAAGCTGTACAGAAGTGGAGCTGAGATTTGCGATATCGCTCGTAGCATGCGAGTAAGCGGGCTGTGCTGTTGTTGTTCGATCAGAAGTATGTTTATTACATGATGTGGGTGTAACGTACTCGACTGGATCAGGTTGTCGATCAGGTTCCCGACATCGATATTTTCTACATGCAATTAGTCGCCTCTTACTTCGCATGAGGCTTGGACTGTATAACATACATCTTCCGCGTCAGTGCGTGTGAAGAGTCATAATGGCCGATCTTCATTGCGGATTAGTGGCCACGGAAATAGACGGTTAGTCCCATGCGAAGTTATTGGAATCTGGTAAGTATAAGATGCAATTAATTATCATCTTCAGTTGTAGGGGCGCAAGCGCCTCTTATCCTAAAGACGAGAAGATGAATGTGGCGGAGTCATTAATATGCAGGCAACAAGACGCGAAGGAACACAACGCTAGTCCGGACGCGTACCTGGGTATCAGCCAACCGAGGCTGCAGCAGACATATTTCAAGTCGTAGGAGTTATGAAATCATGCATAGCTTTCCTTCAATAAAGCTACTCAAAGTTTTGCCTGCCTAACAATTCTTTAATAGAGACCCTTATACCCTCTCCGAGTACATACAGCGCACAATGCACGCGAGCCCAGCAATTGTTCAGATGTTGGGATTTTCCGTCAACGCCCATTTTTCCTGCCACAACATTAGAGGACATCAAACCGGACATTTCAGAAACATACCAGGCAAACCATGAACAGCCCTTCTTCCCCATCAAACAGCGACGTGAAGTCCTTGCAACAACCCGCACTCTGTACAGTAACGCGACTCAGCCCTTCCCTTCTTAGCTGGTAAACAACAGGACCCAGTTTCTCTAGTTGCAGCCGTCGAGCCGACATGCTAGTCCTGTGGATAAGACGTATGTGCAAGTTGACATCCTTGTTCTCGATCTTGCCGAGTGTATCTCTTAGCTCATCGAAGTAATCAGTCTTGGTTTGGTATTCGGCCACGTGAACGTGCATGTGCTGGATGATAAGGCCTGGTTTGAGGCCTTTGGAGAAAACGTCGCGTTCCAAGAAATCGGGGATCAGGTTCAACCGACGGTGACTGAAGCAGAAGGTTCGACCTAAAGATGAGTGTACGAAGTCAGTATTTGTCTCACATACAGTTCGTACATGGATATTACTAACTGCGGTACCAGTGCTCGACTATCTCGGTGGCTACTTCGCGGCCCATGTAGCTGTCGAGCCACCATTTCAGACCGCGCTGGTCAGTTGACTTGAGGCCTCGTATCCCTTGGTTGACAAAATCCATTTTTGTGCTTTGAATGACGTCTTTTCTCCAGTCCCTGTGTCCGGTGACGATCTCGCGGTAGAATGGGCCGATGATCTCGCTGTACACCATGTCTCGCAGTTCTCGAGGTAGGGTGGTATGCAGCGTTGCGCAAAGTTGAAGACATGTGAGCCGGCCTTTCTCAACAGCCTCTGCAAGGTTTGCGTCGCGTCGCGTCCGTACCATTATCCTTTTGTCAGACAGTTCTGATGTCGAGTCCTGTATGTTCCGTCGCCTATGTCTGGTCAGCGACTTCGCGGTGCCGGTATGACGGTACCTACTTGTTGGCGGCTTCCTGTTCTTCTTGATGTACTCTGAAATTCATTAGCTAATGGGTTCTAACAACCTCAAGCATACACTCACTCGTTCTGGCGCTTCCTGCTATCTCCAGGCTCATTGTTGGTAGCAATATGGGTTCCAGTCGCATCTTTGTCAGAAGCCAGCTGCGCTGGGGCGCTTGTATCGAGCACATTATGCGAGTGACTGCATTCGCAGCCGATGGGGTGGGGAATGGTCGCGTGCTGGGCTGATTGGAATGAGTTCCCATCGGGAAGTGTAGCGACTACATCGCCGGTGGCCAGGCTGGTTGTAGACATGCCGTGGTACCGTAGCGATCCAATGTAAAGTATACCGAGAGGTATCAAGTTGAAATGGGAAGAGGCGGGAGACAATCCCGAGCGAAGAAACTTGGAAGGGGCCATGGTGCAGAGCAAACTCGACTGACAGGCGCACCTACCCCAAAGAAACTTTTACTGTGTTCTGACCACTGACAGCGTGACTTTCTGGACCCTGCGACCCTACCCTCTCTCTCGATGATTCTTTACTACGAGCACGGTATGCGTTTCGGCAGTCGTCAATGTCTCATTACAGTACCATAGTAGCCCGACCGCGTTGAACAAAGGACACTACATCAGCGAACAAAACGTAAAATGTAACGTGTCTTCAATCATTCATCAGCAAAGTGATCCATAAAAGCGCCAGGGTATATGCATTTTCCAAACCTTCCCACCACCACCCCATCTACGCGCGATCAAAATCCCCACTTCCCCTCATCCTAAACCCAGTACTAATCCTCTCAATCGGACTCTGCCTCTCAGCCCTATCCACACTCAACCGGTTAGCCATCGCAGTCGTGCCATTCAAGCCATTCGTAATCCTCACAGCAGCCTTCTCGGGACTCCTTCCCGTGCTGCGACTAGCAACCGGAAGCAACGAGCCACCATCACCCCAGTGATTCGCTCTCGCACTGCCAAGATAGCTTTCGATGCTGCGCCTGCCGTCGGGGCGGTATGCCGTACTACGCCCGCGACTCAGAGCCTGCTCGATAGTGCGCGTATCGAAGGGGTACTCGAAGTCAGTCTTCTCGATACCGCTGTAAGCGTCGGTATCGCGCCGGCTCTGGCGATTCTGGGCCTTGCGCTCGCGGAAGCGGCGTTTGACTTCGCGGAAGAAATCCCCAATGGCGTCGAATGAGAGCGCGATGGCGATGAACGGGATGGAGATAGCGAAGCCGATGCCGAACATGTACTTGCTGACGAATGAGAGAGGAAGCGAAGGCTCGTCGCTACCGGGCCGGTGCGGAAATTCTTGGATGTTGATTGTGAACATGGCTGCGATGAAGGATAGAGGGAGGAAGATGATTGTGACAATGGTAAACACCATGATGGTCTGGCTTTGTCTTGCAGTACCGGCAGCTTGGTCGCGAGCGAAGCGTGCCTCGAATGCGTTGGCGTGCTTCTGCTTTAGATCGAGTAGGTCAGTGATGGATTCATAGATGCGCTTGGCTTGCTTGTCCATGCGCTCGAGATCCTTGATATGTGTGTCTACTGTCTTCGTCATATCCTTGAATCGCTTCTTCAGCTCCTGTTGACTCTTATGCTCCTCCCGGTATATGTCCGTGATGCTTGTCTCCATGTCCGGTAGTATGGTGCGTTGATCTTCCAGCACCTTGGAGATCATGTTGAGTTCGTCGCGAATGTCTTTAGTCTCGGCTAGCAGGTCTGTCTCCGCGCCAATATCCAGTAGTTTATCGACAAAGAGCGGAGCATGGGCAGCTGTTCGGTCGCTGTCACCGTAGTCAAATGCCTCTTCCGGCACTGGAGGGTCAGTCAACGCGTGAGAGTGCGAGTGTGAATGATGCGATGTGTGCCGGCGATTCAGGTGCTCTCTTTGCCTTCCCTCGGCCTCCAAATGTCGCGAAAAGCGATTGGGTCGGCGGTGGTGTTGTAGCCAAGCCGAGGCCTGGGCGGACGCTGTGTTGAACTCTTTGAAAAGCATAGTTTCCATCTCAGTAGCATCACCGATGCTTGATTCGAACATATCGAGAAATTGATAGTCTTCGTCACCAACACGATGTCTGTCAAACACGCCACTACACCGACCGGTGATGATCATGGCAAGATCGTACACGCTACGCACCGGATCTCTTGTCTTGCTATTGATGTCTTCAATGACTCCATCCAGGACGTTGAGCGGGTCGTTACGAGGCTGCTGCCATCTTTGAGGGAAGGCCGTCACGATCAAGTCTTTGCCAAGCGTCCACATCCATAGCTGATCGACCATGAAGATCTTTGGGTCAACATGTTGCGGCTCGTTCGACTTGCATTGATATCGATAGACAACTTGGTCTCGATCTCGGGATTGCGTGTCGATATTGTGATAAAAGAACTGGTCGAGCGTGCGTCGCACGTGCAGCGAAACTTGTGAGGATGTCAAGTGAGCCCTGAACAGCATCTCGTCATAAGTTGATGCACGGTAATATTGTGGCTTAGAAGTGCCACCCTCGTTCTTCTCCCGCTCTTTCATCTTCTGCGTCCTCGAGATCGCAGCCTGCATCTCTTGCCGCCGCCGATCGGTTTCAAAATGTAGGTATGGCATGAAGGAAAAGATGTTGCCCTTCGCTACGGCTGTTGGGTCTTTTCTACCTGGGCTGCCGGGTGACCTGAGATGGCCGCTATTGTTAAGAGAGGAGCTAGTATGCGTTCGTTTCGCCTGGTGTTCTGGACCCCGGGTTGGTGTGTCCGTCCCACCTGATCGCTTGCCTGCTTGTCTCGATCCACTCCACTTCGGTTGCTTCTTCGATTTGTCCTTCGCCTTGCTCTTTCCTTCCTTGACAGTTGCAGGTCCGGAGCCCGTTCCTGCAGTTCCATCTGTATAATCAGTATCCACGGTACTGGTCCGCACAGGCGTGCGAGGAAATTGCGACGTTGGCGGTTCTTGTGAACCAGCTACCGCATCGATACCTAAGCCCATACCGCTATTTACCAGAATCTGGGGTATGAAATCAGCGCCGTCGGAAAGATCGGAATCATCGTGCTGTTTTGGTGCACGCGGTGTGCTTTGACACAGCGGTCGCATGAAATGCGAATGAATCTGCTGTCCTCGATGCTGATGACTGAAGGACCGTTCGAGCGCCTTGAACCCCTCCACATCGCTGGCACCCTCCTCGATGAAGGCCTTCGTGAGCAGCGCCTCAACCCAGGCCATATTATTGGCAGGGAGATGTATCCATCGGAAGGTTGTCGCCTTTGACTCCTTGGGTAGAATCGCAACAGCTGGCTTTCTTGGGTTGATGGGATCTCGGCCATATAGCAGCTCGAAGACAGTCCTTCTTGAGACTTTGTTTTCGTTATGGAAGTTGCCAAAGTCAACGATCGTAGCATGGAACCCGTTTGTAGCGCCAAGGGCATCTTCGCTAAGCGCTTCGACCTGGTTGTGGGGTGCCAGTGCATTGATGATATCTTTACGCGCAGGTTTCTTGCTCTGCGCAGCGCGCAAGAACGGCGTGATACCAAATGTATCCTTTGGCGCTCGTTTGATGCCTGCCCTTTCCAAGAGACACTTGACTACGTCAAAGTGACCAGCCTGCGCCGCGACGTGTAAAGGTGTCGTCCCGTTGAGTGTTCGCGCATTGATGTCCGCTCCGGCAGCCATGAGTATCTTCAGCACCTTGACACTGCCTTGGTCGCAAGCATTATGAAGGGGCGTCCAGCTTCCGTCGCTCTGCGCGCCTACGTCTGCCCCGTTGACTAGTAACAGCTCAATGATGTCGTCTCGCCCGTGTGCGACTGCCAGATGTAGTGCCGTCTTCTGCCTGACTTCCACCGCGTTCACATTCGCTCTCGGCAATCTCGTTCGACGCAAGAGCATCTCGCACAGCTCCTTCTTGCCGGTACTAGCAGCCCAATGCAACGGGCTGCGCTTCTGGTCGTCCTGGCCCTCTGGTCCGTCGATCGCGATATTCTGCTTCAACAGCTCCGCGATGACATCGCGTCCCCAGTTGCAGTGCTTGTCTGCCGCCAAGTTGTGTAATATGTTCCGCCCAGTGTTGTCCTTCTTGTTGACGTCGGCACCATACCTGAGCAGTTCTTGCATAATGTGGTAGTAGTTCTTCCATGCAGCCGTCATCAGCGCAGTCCGTCCCTGCTTGTCTTGCGCATCCACGTTGCCGCCGAACTTCAACAGCAGTCGTACAATGTCGACACGCTCTTTCTCAATCGCTTTGAACAAAGGCGAGACTCGACCACCCGGTGCACCGTCGGGCTTCGCGCCGCTCTTGAGCAGGTATTCGGTGATGTAGATGTTTCCGCGTTCGGCTGCGCGCATCAAGCCTATGCGCAGAAGGTGGTCGACGGGTTGCGACTTCGCTTTCGCATGCTCGATAATCGCGATCGCATCGTCGTGTTTACTGTCCTCGATGGCCTTCAGGAGACGCGGTTCGACGCGCGCATTTTGCGCGGAATCAGCTCCATCGCTGGATCGTGATGGTGAACGACCCATATTGGCTACATGCTCTGGCTGCGACGACTCTTCGTTCGCAGGCGCTGGATGGAGTACGAGGGCGGATATTCGTTCGATTGGAGATGAGATGGAGGACGTATCAAGGTCGATAGAGGGGACCGGGTGTGCCGTCGAAAGCCATTCTCAAGTAGAGTGCTCCTCTCCTTCAGTCTGCGGTCGTACTGCCTTCAGGGCGGTGGATGGTCACACTCAGCCACAGGCCTAATTCGAGCTAAGAACATCCCCGGCTGCGACGTGCATGAGCACACGTGATGATCGGCATCTCGCGATTCGTGAGCCATATATTCGTGAAAGTATGGAAAAGTTGACATCTGACTGAATGATGGTGATGGAAGCAGAAGAGCCGAAGTCCAGGATTGCTGGGTTGGAGTACGTGCCTGGGGATCCGGGTATTGCGGGGACAGAGGTACGCCAACTCACAGCGCGCCCGGGCGGCGTTGACGTCGGCGCGCTATTACTGTGCTTTTTGAATGACTCGACACCGCTTTGTACACATTTCCCATCAAGTGTCACGCTGTTGACTCCTTGGACGCGACATTGACGCGCGAACTTAGCGTGCGTCAGGCGTTTGCCAGCGGATGGTGCAGGTGGTCTCTGCATCTGTTTACAGCTATGAAGACCGAGGTCTATAGAACGCGATCGCCATCTGGAATTCACGAGCCAACTGCAACATCTTCAACGTTCACACACCCAAAGCGGAAGTGTTCAACACTCTTCTCGCGCTTATTGATTTTGGTCGCTAGCCTCGCCTTCTTCACCATGTACAACCAACTAGCTACGTTACGCCCCATGGACACCAAATCAACACGACATACGGACTCGATCTTCATTCCATTTATGTACAATCTGAACCCCAAACATGTGCCGCAAGTCATGTGTGGCGTCGAAGGGGTTGACATCA